ATTTTGTTAGTCTTTATGGTGCTGCTGGACTCTTGATCTTTTCTACTGCCGTGGACAGACATCGTGATCTATTTTCTTATTCTTGCTCTTTTCTACTGCCATGGACAGACATCTTGATCTGTTTTCTTATTAGATATAGTCAGGAGTCATTTCGTAGAAAAAAAGGCACAGGAGCTCATTAGCATAACTCATTTGCATAGGCCACACCCCTTGACATCACTGGAAGTGTGTCAGAAGGCAACACCCACCGCTCAGGCGCCACTGGACTCTTTTGGATTGCTAGCTATTGGAGGGGGGGACATGCAGATCTGTCCTTGCAGAGGAGGGAGAGCTTGTGCCTGAACAAAACTTGGTCTTAAAGGTGCCACTGGACTGTTTTGGGCCGGGGGGAGCTCTGCAACTTTCCTGGCTGCTTCTTGCTCTGACTGAGGGCTGCTGGGAGCAGGGGGTGGGGCTTGTTGCATGTGCCCGCCCCCTGGGCTCTTTACTGCCGGAGCTCCACTCCTGTGCACTCCTGCAGGAAATGACCCCTGGATATAGTAATAATGATAAAGATTTGCAGGAGAAGAGGTTAAATGGAAACAATAGGGTAACCTCCTCTCTACCCAGCTTTGAAATAGTGAAACTGTACTGAGGTCTTCAGCAGCCCATTTTCTAGAAACCAGTTAAATGGAAGAGCTTGAAGGTTTGTTGATGTCCTGTGAAATGGGTCCCGGCAGTGGTTTCTCTTGCGATGACAGCATAACCTGGGGGGAGTTAGTTGTACCCCATGGAAGAGGGGGAAACCTGCACCAAGCACTGGTGCTTCCATCATTGCTCACAGTTTCCACACCACCCACTCTGTAGCCACCGTGTCCTTTGTGAGTATCGGGCGCAGTGACTGTGGACCCCTGGCACCCCACAATGGTCTCCCAACTGGACACTTGTACGGATTTTCTTTTCCTTCTGTTTGTTCGTTTGAGCATTGTAGCCCATCCCAAGGATCTGGAATGGAGCCAGTGTGCTAATTTTTCTGTCTAATTGCTTCTGAAAGAGGTACGTGCTCAGACTTCAGCAGAAAATTGCAAGGCAACACATTGCATTCCTGACGGTGCACAGGTTTTTATTTTTGCTTAAGAGGACGTTTATCATCAATCTGAAAGGTGGTGTTGTAACATGAACCAGAGAGATGGTCTCTTAGCTTTGCAGCTAGGCTCTTTAGGGCTTTGTTAGGGTCATTGACAGCACCTTGAATTGATCCTAGAAAGCCATTGGGAATCATAGCAAACATCGGGTTCCAAAGTTATCCCATCAGTCTTGTACTTTCAGGATTACTTCCCCTCAGTCTGGAGGGCTGGTGAAATTCGACAACTAATAGCATCTGGGCCCCTGGATTGCTGCAGGATAACTTCAGAGATATGGGCACCCAGCAACTACAACCTGGCATTTGTAACATCTTTCTAATATCTAGAACAAAGGTTGAGTCCAGTGGCACCTTTAAGACCAACAAAGTAAGTCTGCATGCACACGAAAGCTTATGCCCAGAATTAAACTTTGTTGCTCTTAGAGGAGGTGCCACTGGACTCAACCTTTGTTCCGTTGCTTCAGACCAACACGGCCACCCACCCTCTTTGAATATCTAGTTAGACAGTTCATTTCCTGACAGATCGAAATGGATAGCAATAGATAAAAATAAATCCAGACATCTGTAACAACAGAACATCATGATACAGAAGCAGGTGCTTAAGGTCCTGATTCGACAACTAATAGCATCTGGGCCCCTGGATTGCTGTGATACAGAAGCAGGTGCTTAAGGTCCTTGTTGTCGTCCTTTCATTTTGGCACACCAGCTGCAGAGTGGGGGGGGACACTCTTCAGACCCAGTCTCTCAAAGAGGCTGTTGCAACTGGCCACAGGTGCAGATCAGTGTCAGCTATGCTGCCATGTTGTTTGTGGGCGAGAGTGCATTTGCTTGACCTGTGTACCAACTGATGCTGCATTCCTTTGTCCTTGCTTATCTATGACCTTGCTAGCTTGCTGTCTGTGTAGTGTCTCCCTGTCCATTACCCGTGGGATAGGTTTCAATTCCCAGCTTTGGCTGTAACGGCCTGGGGCCCCATTCTCCCGCGCCCGGGAGTCCGGCCGCTTGGTCTAGGAGTGTGTGTGTTTGTGGGGGGTGTGCGTACGAATACCCTATATCCCTTTATGCTTGTAGGAAAGTAGCCATTCCTAACAGTGACCATGTTACTGCCTCTATAGCTCTTGCAATAAAGTATAACCTTATGTTAAGCGTGTGCTCCTTTGTTTCGCTGTGGAACCTGACAATCAGTCCCTGGGGGCAGGAGGCTTGTAAAAGGGGGTCCGTGCCGGAACTTGGTTCAGAAGGTCCTTTGTTTCGCTGTGGAACCTGACAGTCAGTCCCTGGGGGCAGGAGGCTTGTGCTGGAACTTGGTTCAGAAGACAACACCCCAAAGCAGCAGGTCCCCAACCTTTTTGAGTCCGTGGGCACCTTTGGCATTCTGACTCAGGGTGGTGGACGCAACCACTAAATGGCTACCATGGGAGGCAGAGCCAACCGCAGGATGTGAGGGAGTAAGTTTGTGCATCACTTTAACAGCAACTAGATTCAGGTGGGTTAGCCAGATCTGCCCAGCCAATTGGATCTCCGGTGGCCAATCAGAAGCCTTGCTGGGCAAAAGCCCCACCCACTTTCTAAGACACTTGGCGCATGCCATGGTGCCCACGGGCACCATATTGGAGACCCTTGCCTTAAAAGTTGGAGACATTTTAGAGTCTGAGCAAGCTTGAAAGTCTACATAATCCCGAGAATCTACAGTATTTTGGGTGCTCATGCTTATAGCGTAATTAAAATCAAATTGTGTACATACAACCATCTGACAAACCCAGTCCCAGGCCAATAGAGCACACGGCCCAGTCGCTGCTGTTCCAAAGTCATCTGTGGATTAGCATCTTTCCTTTCTTTCTTACTCTACTCCTCTGACCTACAGGTCTTGAGTTGCGTTTATCAAACATAGCTGGGAATATGAGGAAGAACACAAGAATTCAGACCAGGCAGGGCTGGTACGTACGCCACAAAGACAATGCAGAGCTGGTAGGGCAGCAAGGCCGGGGGGAGACAGAAAAAGACACAAAGATTGTCCTCTTGAAATGTTGTAAGCTGCTTTGAGGATTTTGTTATTAAAAAGCAGGATATAAATCAAATAATTAAATACATACTTTCCTCCTTAGTTATCTTACACCCCACGTATAGCCCACCAGGAAACAAAGAAGTCTCCACACACTGGAATGGACAAAGGAATCTCCCTGGGGAGAGAGTTCCAGATCCTTGATGCCGTGGCCAAGAGGCCTTCCTCCGGGTGGGCCCCTGCCTAGTCTCAGAAGGCGGCCCTTCAAGTCCATTGGTCCCATACCAAATAGCTCTTGGAAGGTCAAGACCAGCACTTTGAGTTATGCCCTGAAACAAATTGGTGACCAGCGTAGGTGGGCCAAGACTGGAGTGGCGTGGTCCCTGTGACCCACTTCAGTCAACATCTGCAGCACTCTGTACCAATTTATTTATTGATTTGATTTGTACCCCATCCTTCCTACCAACGCAGGCTCAGGGTGGCTTACACAAAATTGCAACAAATAAATAACAGATGAAAACATCAATATAAATATCCTCGTAAAACATGACATACGTACTAAAAATGATTTATATGACGGTGGTGGTGCAATAGTAGCAGTAAACATATAGATTACAATCAGCACATGGTTTTTCTGCCGGCAGGGTCAGACTGGATGGTGGTGTTGGGCAATTGAAGTTTTCAAACACTTCTCAAGGGCAGCCCTCAGTACAGCGCATTGCAGTAATCTAATTTAGATGTAACAGGGGCATGCACCGCAGATCCATCCATACCATCCATCCTAAAGACAGCTGTGGTGGATCCAATATGATCAAAGATTAATTGAACGTGTCAAGTCACCATAGCAGGAGTCAGGCCATTGGATCTCAAGATCTTGTCTACTCCTCCAGGGTTTCAGGCAAAAAAAGGCAAGGGCAGCCCTCAGTACAGCGCATTGCAGTAATCTGATTTAGATGTAACAGGGGCATGCACCATACTGTCCATCCTAAAGACAGCTGCGCTGGATCCAGTATGATCAAAGATTAATTGAACATGTCAGGTCACCATAGCAGGAGTCAGTCAAGATCTTGTCTACTCCACCAGGGTTTCAGGGGGAAAAACACTTTCCCAGCACTTCCTGCCTGGTTTGTTCCTAAACTGGAGTTGCCACGGCTAGAACCTTGGGATATTCTATATTCAACACACATGCTTTTTCTCACTGAGCTACGGTGGCCCAGCACACTGTTGGTCTCCATTGGTCTGCAAGCCAGATAAGCCTGGGATGTTCACCAGCAGGACGTGATGGGGAGAGCCATCCCTTGGCATTCATCCACAGCATCTGTGATTCAAGTCTGCACTGGCTTTGAATATTAGAGTATCTGCTTATAGTTGTCATAATGAGTGACCACTAATAACTAATGTTTTTGATGGACGAGATCCTGGTTGAATAGAACAGATTCAGAGAACTATCTCTCCAGATTCGGGTTCCTTTGGGCAGTGAACTGTAACTACGTTCTTTTTCTGGTGACTCTTTTAATTGCTGACTGGCCTTGGTTTTTTTCCTGCCATCTTTACTATTTAACTTTCCTACTTATCATCTCCCCTTCTACACCCTTTCACCCATGATTTAGACTGTATAATCCAATGGGAGCCAATGAAAACCAAGCCCAGATATATTGTCATAACTGTTGGGGGTGGTGATGTGAGAAGGCCATGGAATGGCGGGAAATGGCGTGGATGGGTGGATTGGTAGACAGACAGACAAGACAGGCAGATAGATAGACAGACAGATAGATAGATAGATAAGATATGTGTAAGTACCTGTTACATTCTGATGAGCATCTTCTGTGATTCCCCCCTGCCCTTTCCCCCCTTTCTTCTCCACCATGGATACAGGTGTCGGCTATTCTCGGTCCGTTCCTCCAGCCTACCCACCACCCCAGGACCCACTGAATCAGGGACAATACATGGTGACAGATGGCATAGCGCAACCCCAGGTCTACGAATTCACCGAACCCAAACGCAGCCAGTCACCATTCTGGCAAAACTTCAGCAGGTTAACGCCATTCAAAAAATAATATATAGCGTGAGATGGAGAATTTTAAAAATAAATTAAAAAATTAAAAATTAAAAAAAATATATTTATAGATGGACCTTTTTTGGAGAAGCACTGTTGCAATTTTTAAAAAATCATATATATATATATATATATATATATACACACACATACATATATATACATATATATGTATATGTTGATATATATATATATATATCTTATATATATATATATATACACACACATACACACATACATATATATGTATATACTGAAGGACCAAAAATGTTTTTGTTCTTGTTGTTTTTGGGACACACGCTCTGCTGCTCTATTCCAGGAAGGACCGCTGACTTCTGAATCATGTAACCAGCTTTATTTTGGCACCATCGGAATCATTGTTGTTGCCGTTATTCTTTATTTCACTTTGTGTTTGAGTCTAAATCGTCTCCCAGGATGATTTGTTGTTTGTTGTGCATCATGCCTCTAACATGTTCCAGCCAGGGCCATACTGATGTAGGTTTCCTTTTTAAATTTCTTTATTTATAGCTTTATCTTCTCATAGAAAAGGGTGGGCACAGGGGAAGGAGGACTCTCCTTTTTTCCATCTCATTCCCACAGCCCATCATGGACATCACCCCCCACCCCACCCCCGGGATCTGCTGCCGTCTGAATCCGATTGAGACAAATGGGAGGTTTCATTCACTTCAGTGGAATTTGCTCAGACAGCATACCAGGAGTGGTGTTGGGGTGGAGCTGCACCACATAAGTTGAATGTTATGGTGGTTGGGTTTTTTAAGCTAGCTGCATTTTTATTTCCCAGCGTTCTTCTGTTCCGAGTCCATGCACTGTAATATGCCGCTCAGTACTTCTGTTGCTTTGAAGTGTTGGCTAGAGGGGACACCACGCACGAGGCCCTGCTGCTGTGCCAATGCCATTCCTTTTCCCCAAGGAAATGGAATTTGAAAAGCAGAGAGTTCTGGAAGCCTGTGCCTCAAGACTGCAGAGAGAGTGGGATGGCTAGAGGGCGCCCAGTTATTTATTATGCAAAGAATTACGTCTCTTCGGCTGATATGTTTTTGTTAATTATGCTTTTTTTCTTCCTGATGTGTGGTTTGAGCATAATGTTTTCTTTTTCCCCCCCCTAGTAATAGTATGAAGGTCATTCCAATTTGGGTTGTGTATTCTTCCTTTTTTTTCTTTCCCACTGGGCAGTAGCCATAGGGAATGCCCAACCTGCTACATTTGCACAACCTGTAGGATCAAAAGATGTGCTGAAAATAGGCCGTGAGCCCACAGCCCGTATCCTGGCTCAGAGCCAAATTGGCTAGCAGAGACTCTAAGGAATTAGCAGCTGTCCAGTCAGAAAGTCCTCATGTGCCACTGACTAGAGGGGTTTTTGGTCCCAGTGAAGCTAGGCCATGGAATCCTGGTTGTCTGCCTTGTTTCACCTGTCACGAGCATTATCCTCAAGTCCTTCAACTTCCAAGCACAGCATTTGGCATCAGCAACAAAGTATTTGCTGAAGGATCATTGCCTTGGTGATCCACCTGCTTGACTGTTGAGGGATGAGATCCATGGGAGGAGCCAGGTGCAGCAGGGCACTTACCAGTTGCAGTGACATTGCTCTGGACAGAGAAATGCAAATCAAGTCGCTTGGTGACTCTTATCTTCAGGGGTTAGTTGCCAAAAACAGGATTGTTGTCATTGTCAGTGGGGCGTGAGGAGCACTCTCTCTCTCTCCCTCTCTCTCCCCCTTTTATTTCACATTCTCCATAAAGAACTGCAGCGGCCGAAGCCATCTTTCACCCTGGTTTCCCTAAAGGCAAGAATCGGCCCAGTCACACGAGACCTGGCATTTAGACTTCAAAGGCATGCAATTGCCCACCGAAGTATCAGTCTGAGACTGAAGCTAGAAGTGCGGATCGCTCTGCCACTTCCTCTTTTCTCTCCCTCAGTAACATTCAGTAGGCAGAAATGTGTGATGTCACCGTTTGTGGGAGCACAGGGTGATGACATCATAGCACAGGTTTTCATTTGGGAGACATTCCTAGCAGAGTGAGGAGGAGGCCGTGCCCAGTGGCTGCTTTCCGAGGCCACCCCATGATCCCCGCAACGCACTGTTTCAGCCTGGAGTTTACAGTTGTAAGGTAGGCTTGCTGGACCCTGGTGTTTGAGCTGCTTGAACACAGAGAGTGAATTTATTCAGGCCTCCTGTTTTCTTGGCAGTCTGTGGTGGCTCTTCATTGATTTTCAGTCAGATTTCCTCGTTGCCCTTTGGGGGAGTCCGCCTGGCCTTTCAACAGGAAGGATTAATTGGCTTGCACCCCTTTCATACTTTGCCCCATGGATAAATTTCTAGAATGACAATGACCTGACTCTTTCAGCCATCCCAGGAGGGCTCTTCCCGATGTGCGCAGGCGGACATTTAATATTCCACACGGCGCCCTGATCTCCGCCGATGCCTGTCCCCGCTCCCTGGCCTGTGCAGAGCTGCACTGTGTGGTGCTGATATTGGCTCCCCCTGCTCCACGCAGTGAAGGCCGGCCTGCTCTCTGCTCCGCCCATGTAAAGCTGCCGCTGGAGCACGAGGAGCTCTTTGTGTACAAGCACGGCTATTCTGCACGGCTGCTGCAAAAGCGTGGGGAAAGAAAGAAGCTGGTGAGCGAAGTAGCGGGCCGCATCTTCCATTTAAGCACAAAGCACTTTCTTTGGCCGTGAACCTGATCTGTTCTCATGAACCATCTCATTCCCATGATCTGTCACAGGGGAAGAGCATTCTGCCATAGGCTCTCCTGTCAGGGGATCCCCCTCCTGAGACACCCCCTCCCTGGAGATGAGAGGCGTTTGGCCAGCGGATCCTTGGGTGCTACCCCACAGCTGCAGGACTTCAGAGCGGTCTTCCTAGCAGCCCGTGGTGGCTGCAGCATTGGAGCCCAGGGTAAACAGCAACAGAAACAACCAGTAACAAAATTTTATATCACCAAGAGCATATTTTTTAAAAATTGCTCTTTTGTATAGCTTCATGTTTATGGGTACCAGCGCAGATTTTAGTACAGGCTCAAGCAGTCGTTTTATTACCTTGGTTCACTTAGCCAAACAGATGTTTTAAAAATTGATGGCGTTGCGCTGTAAAGGCTTTTGGCGTTGGCGATGCAGTGTCCCGCTGTTTCGGGAGTCATGGCTGGAGAGAGAGACAGAGAGGAGAGCCGGGGATAAGAGGCCGCTTGTCAACCCCTTGAAACTTTTACTTATTCCTTTGCGGTTCTAATTGCTTGGGGTGGGGGGAGGAAGTAACAAGCACATCAGTTAAGCCTGTTCATTTACTGTTTTGTGCCTCAGAGAGCGAAAATGAAACATCCATTATTTTTATGAGAAGATGCTTCCTAAATATTCAGCACTAGGAAAAAAAAAAGACACCAACTTCGTCACACCATTATTTGCATCATAACTCAAGACTCGCTTGGTCTGACAAGGCCACTTGTTCAACTCCCACCGCCTTTCTTAAGTGGAAAAAGGCCTAAGGGAAGAGCTTTGCCGACTCAGTGCCAAAGCCAAGCATCGGGCATAGCAGATGCGGGCATTTGTACCCGACCGAGGGGGTGCGTTTGCCCCTCCTAGTGGCATTCAAGAACTCTCCTCCTTCCAATACGTTGCCAAGGTGCTACACGGAACAAAGCGTCACTGCGACAAAGAACCAGCAACGGGTTTCCGCTTTACTACCTGCCGATGTTCTTGACGGGGAGGGAGGTGTTGAGCTGAGCTGTCTATTGTGCTTGAAAGATGAGATCGGTTTGGATTTGGGGAGGGGGACCTTGGAGGTCTAACGATGATTGAGCATGTTCTGTAGACTTAATTTCCTGTGCCAGACAAAGAGGAAGCAGGTGCCGTTTTAGTGTGGCACCGCAAGGTGTAGAACACAAAAGTTGTAGGACACTTACTGTACGCAGAATTTCTCTGGCTGAAACAAAGAACATAGATACAGCTATCTTATATATACATATATATATATACATCTATGGAGGAAATTACCTTCTTTCCTTAGATAACTGATTCACATCCCTCCCCTTTGACTTTGCAGATACAAAGGATTTATCTTCGAGATTATTGCCTCCATACCTTCTTTTAAAATTAAAAAAACGCAAAGCAAGAACAAACCTAGGTGCATCTAACAGTTGTAAATAGACAATAAATAGAGACAAAAAAATGAACATTTGTTTCATTTCTTGGATGGACGCTCGCCATCCCTTGCAATGTTATTGACAGTAGGCTGTGGTGCTTCGGGTTTCCGGTTTTGTTCTCTTTATGCTCAGTCATCTTTTCATCGCAGCTACCTTTCAGGGAAACATGTATATTTAGTAGCTATTGTAAGTTCTGCATGGCCTCACCAAGCTTATTTTTTCTCGGAAAAGACCAGAGGGGGCCAGTCATAGGTTCAAGGCACTCTGGTAAATAAAGAGAGGCTCCTGCCTGGGAATAAGAGTGGAGAAGGGGCGGGGGGGAGGCTGAAGACCACCCTGGGTTCGATTTAGGGAGAGGGGAGGCTTTGAGCAGGAGGAACACGTCAGCAAACAAACAAAAAGGAATTTTGGTAAGCCAGCTAATTCTCACTTGCCAGTTCTATTATTTTGTTTCTATTGGACCGTTTGACCCTGTCAAACAAATGTCAGAGTTGTGTGTATTTAAAAAAACAAACAGTGTTTTAAAAAAAAAAGTGTTGTAAAGACACTGAGCCTTATGAAAAATATTTATGGAGTTAAATAAAAAGAAATTAAAAGACATCTCCAGACATTTCTTTTTTTAAAAAAAAAAGAAGAAGAAGACGTTTCGCCTCGCAGATCACGTGTGCTCTTTTTCTAAGGAAGTCTGAGAACGGCTTGTATGAGAGGCCATTTGGTTGGGGAAAAGCGATGTCACGTGTTCCTTGTGTCTTTGCTGTTGTCAAAAAGGGGTTGGGTACCAGTGGAAGACTCGTGCGTTCTCTCCTCCACGGAATCTCCAGCGACGCAGCCGCTTAATGGTTAAATCTT